TCCGCCTTGTGTGCTTCGGAATTTTAATTTCGATTATTGTGTGACTTTAAAATTAATTCTAAATTGATTTTAGAACTAATATTAAACAATATTGAAATTAAAACAAGTCCAACTTAAATAAATTCAATTTTAATGCAAATTAATTCAAGAACCATTCTTTAAATTATTTTTGGCTCAACTTGATGCAACAAAAATTGAGGGCTATTCTCACAATTAATTTAAGCAACATAAATTTATAATAAGATTTGACAAAATAGTTGAATAAATAATCAATTAAACAATGAAATAATTTATCCAACACTTACTTATGCACATTTGAATAATACAGCCTTCCAATATGAAGAGCAATAATATTTCAAGCACAAGTATGAACGTTTAAGATTTTAATCAACTTCCAAAATGATTAAAACCAAAAATTTGTTCATTGTGGATTTTAGCAAGTTAAGATTCAACCATTTAAACCATTAAATATTGAATCATTAACATTTTAAGGGCTTCAAAAATCATATTCACCATAAACTTTCACTCTACAAGCAATTTATTTGCAAGAATGAGAAATTGCAAGTTTATGTGAAATTAAGAGCTAACCAAATTAAGCAACCAATATGACTTCATAAACATGCTTGATAAGGAGTAAAATTGCAGAAGATTAATGGTATAATCAAACACATAATCCAACAATTTCAAGACATAATTAATCAAGGTTTAAAGATTTAAAATTTTTCGTTCCAAACGAAAAACCCCTCGAAAAACCACATTCTAGGTGGATTTTGGCTTCTGGAAGGTCATTTTTAATCACTTTGTGACTTTGTGAGTAAAGAATGATTTAGAACAACGATTCCACCCAAAACAACTCTATTTTTGGGTTGAATTTGGGTTCGTAGGCCAAAATTAGCAAAAATACGATTTAAATCCAAATAAAAACGAGGTCCTAATCTAATTAGGTTGTTAATCCAGAAATTTAAATCCATTTAAATCACCTTAATTAATTTTTATTAGTTGTAAAAATTAAATGCGAGAGGCTCTTATACTGTTGTTGGGTTTTGCGGTGTCTGACACTGCGCGGAAACAAAACCCGAAAACCGGATCGCATGCATAATAATTACAAGGTAACAAAATAGCATGCAACTAAAGAAAACACACACATAAAGAGAAGAGAGAGAAAGAAGCTCACCCTTGATGCGTGCTTCGCTCACAAATCGAGCTCGGACTTGGAAAGTTCAAGCCTCGCAAATGCAAGACCTCCAACGTCTCACTCCCTCGATTACCAAACAGGCCCCTACGAACTAGAGGTTTACGAATTTAAGGCTTTCTCACTTAATAGGAGATTCCTTTTAAATTCTACTCAAGTGAGTATTCCCAATACCCAAGATAGGTATTTATTGGGAAATTCTCCCAAGAGTTTCCGTCAACTTTCCATATGGGAGAGTTAGTGAAATGAGAAAATCCATGAACTAATTTAATTCTAAATTAAATTAAAAGGCATGTTCAATAATCAAATGACAAGTGTCAACACACAAGAGAGAGTAGGTGGGAGGACCACCTTTACCTTGGAAACAAGGCAAGGGGCTGCCCCAAACCTACTCGGTCAGCAAGGCTTAGCCTTGCCGACCCCTTGCCGCAAGCCCACGCGCATACCGCAAGCCCAACAGCAGCAGCGTGACCCTAGTAACAGCACCACATACGCCAGCCTTGCTAGGCAGGCCCAACTAGGGTTGCCTTGGTGCGCAGGCCACTAGGCTACCCCAGCCAGCCCACACGCAAGGTCAGCCTAGTTAGGCCTTGCGATGGCTATTGTGGCTCGATGGTCTAGTGCTTGCGACCCCTAGTCATTTTCCTTGAATATGAGGCATGACTAGGCCTCGTGCTATGCTTGTAATTTTTAGCACGATATGTCATTTGATTATTTTCTCGTCTCGTCGACTCCTAGAGTCGTCTCGACTTTCGACGCTCTAAGCTCGGTATCCGACGTCATAGTTTGTAAAATCTCTATCGACTTATTTAATCCTTCCGATTAATTCTTCGCCTTGGTTCGGTTACACGATCGGGTGTGACCCGAAGGGTTCAGTCAAGAGCAAGCTGTAATATTAATTATTCATTAATATTACTGATCGGAAGTGGCCTCCAGCTAGGAATTCCAATCACGACCTCATTGAATAATTAACTTTCCTAGTTAATTCCGAACCCTCTATCGGAATAATACACTTGTTCGAAGGACACCATTCCTTTCATAATTTTAGTCCCATCTCTATACTTTCTTCCAATGCATAAGGAATTTCCCTCGTGAAGAGAGTTTTCTAATATTTTTATTTTTCTTACCTTAAAATAAAAAAATATCTAACAACGAGCACCCTATGATCTGACTCGGAAAATTTGGTTACCTAGTTTTACCGAATCATCATGTAATAAGCCAATTTTTCAACGATGCGTACTGATACCCGTATTACATATTTACATACCCATTTTGTGTTCGTATAAATCGTACTCGTCCTTGTGCACATGTCTCGAATCTGTAGTCCCCAATAAAATGATTGAAAACTAGTACAATACATTAAGGTTAAACAAAAAAGATAAAAAGGGGTTTTGACCCTCATCCTCCCAATCAAGAGTATCAACACTCGGGCGCACCCGGTTTCTCTTTTTGAGAAACGATTTTGGTTTCTCTAGTGGAAAATTCGCAATTTTGGTGGCGAATGGTTTGATGACTGTTCTAGTGACTGGACATGTGTGAGGACTCTTGAGTACTTGAGTAGTTGTACTGTTAGGTAAATGTAATTGACGGCGTTAAATGTAAAATCTAACAAAATTCACGATTTTTTCTTTCCTTTACCTGGGAAATATGTCTTGTTCCTATGTTGCACCAATACGGGTACGGGGCATATATGGGTACGGGGATGGGGATGGGAAACGGAAAATCTAAAATTCGAGGGTATGGGGACGACTTTGAGTACGGTGATTTTTTAAAATGTAAATTTAAATATAATAAAAATGGAGCATTGTAAAAATTTTAATGCAACAAATTAAAATGATAATACAAACAATTTAGGCCATGTTCAGTTTACCTTAAAAAAATAATAAACAGTAGAACTAATTTCAATTCAGTAAAAATAATTTCACTTCAGAAAAATTAATTTTTGTTCAGTAAAACTAATTTCATTGCAGCAAAAATAAGGTGAAGTGAACGAGGCCTTAGTCTAATATTTTCTCTTTAATACAACATTTAAAATTTAGGACAATTTCCCTTTTGCTACCACCAAAAGGCATGCACCTCAGTTTTGCTATCCCTCCATTTTTTTTATTTTTTTTATTTTATTTTACTACCATCTAAATCACAGTTGTTAAAAATTGCTACCACTAATGGATTCCGTTAAGTTTATTCAAAAAAAAAAAAAAAAAAAAACAGCCACCCTCAATTGCCCCCCTACCGTCAGCCACCCTCCCCCCTCCCCCCTGCCGGCGACCGGCGCCCAATGCTTTGGCCGGCGCCGGCGACCCCACCCCAATCCCTTTCCCCACCAACGCAACCCACCCCCCCTTCCTTATCCCTTTCTCGCTGCCCCAACCCCCACCCCGAAACCGGAAAACACCTCCCTCCCCATCCCCCCCCACCGGAATCGACCCCCCTCCCCTTCCCCCACCCTGAATCGACCCCATGTCCCCTTCCCCCACCCAAAAATCGGCACCCCTAACCCATAAACACCACCCCTAAACCACCATAACCGAAACCCTAAAACCCGTTTAGGGTGGTTTCGGGCTGGAGTTTATGGGTTAGAGGTGCCGGTTTTTGGGTGAGGTTTCGGGCTGGAGAAGGGGAGGTGGTGGGATTTTGGGACTGAGGAAGGGGAGTAGGTGGGCTTTTGGCGATGGCTAGGTAGGGAGGTGGTTTCGGTGGGCTAGGGGAGGGAGGGTGGACGAAATTGGGGAGGAAAAGGGATGGGGTGGCCGGAAACGGGGTGGGGAAGGGAGGAGATGGCCGGAATCGGGAAGGGAAGGGAGTTGGTGGCCGGAATCGGGGAGGTAGATCGTGGTTGGAATGGGGTAGGGGGCCGGTGGTAGGGGCTGCCGGAATCTGGGTTAGAGTTTTTTTTTTTTTTTTAATTATTTTTTTTATAATAAACTTAACAGAATCCTAACCTATTCCGTTAAGTGGTAGCAAATTTTAACAATATGTTTTTGTGTGGTGGTAAAATAAAATAAAAAATTTAAGGAGTAGTAAAACTAACATGCCTGCCTTTTAGTGGTAGCAAAATTGAAATTTTCCTAAAATTTATAAAAAAAATATATGAAATCATACAAAAAGGGGCTGCCCAGGAGAGTAGCCTGGCCGTTTATTTCAGTGGCGTATCTGTAAATAATTGAACAATGAGCATTGCCACGTCATATTTTATGTTTTGATTCTAGTTTTTATAAAAAGCTATCGTGAAGTAACGACGTTAGAGTTTGACGACAAGTATCGTAAATTTCTGGGAATGGTTGCCAGCTACCACTCCATCACTTCTGGAGTCCAGTCGTCAGCAATCTGAGTGTTCTCCAAGACTCCAACCATGGAAGGCTTTAGCTTGTAGATCTGAGCTGGTGGTAATTGGTAAATCTAATTAATAAATTGGAACAATAACAAAACAAAATCAAACCAAAAATCACCAATTTCAATTTCATATGGAAATTGAAGAAATTTCAATCCCGACCTTCCGCAATTAGGATCAAGCAACAACAACCAAAAATAGCCATTGTTACCGTCACAAGCCTGCGAGACAACAACCTTAAACCACCATTACCTTCAGAAGCTTGCGAGCCTGCTACCTTCAACCATTAATGTTTCACAAACGGAGTGAATTTTCAAACAAACTCCCGTTACCAACGCCAGTTAAATCATTAATTTCAAAATTCCCAAAAACCCCTTACTATTGTATGGGAAAGTTCGATAATACCCCGTGATAAACAATGCTAAGTTTCTCTCCGAGAATAACTTGGAATTCCCCCATAAAAAAATTAATAAATAACAAACCATGAAATCAGAAACATAAAAACAAAATAAGTGTGTAAACAACACTACAAAGGTTCGAAGAGAAGAGAAGAAGAAACTCAGAAAGTGAGAAAGAGAAGTGCCGCTGCCATCGCCGCAGCCTTCATTATCGGCGGTGTTCTCTTCGTCGGGCGAGGTTAGCGAATCTAATTGATTTATAATTTTCAGTAAAGTTGATGGATTTATTGTATGGATAATCTCTCTGCTAGGCAAATTCATATCATCAATTAAACACCCAATTCGTTGAAAATCAAATTCATATAATTAAACACCCAATTCGATGAAACTCTAGAATCAAATTAAGTAAATACCCAATTCCATGAAACCCAAATCCCCAAATAATTATACCTGTGAAAAAATTATACCTTAGCTCGCACATATTTGGGGTTCCAACTGTTTTAGGGGGGCAATTAACTGTTGAGTTCAATTTGGATGAGTGGGAGAATTGCCCAGAAATTAGATTTTGCTCGTCACTAAACAGTAAAATGTAACAGTACCCCAGGTGAAACAGTTAAAAAATTTTATCCTCTACCAAGCCCCAGAACACGTGTCATACTCCTTTACGCGTGATAGTAACCCAACACAGCTGCCCATGCGTTAAGCACAAAAATACCCTCGGTAGTAGAGGTGTCAATTCAAATGTTTGGATCGGGTCTGATGTGATCGGGTCGGGTTGGATAAATTTTTTAATTTGAGTCATACCGAGTTATTGTGTCCACATGAGTTTAATATTTTTCGGGTCAAATTCTGTTCGGGTCGGGTGTGCTTTTGCCATCTCTACTCAAGAGAAACGAGTTTTGTTAATCATTATCAGAAACTTGGAATTGACCTCAACCCTCAATCAATTAGAGTCTATGACCTGAACCGGAAAAATTGGTTGCCTGGTTTTACCCAATCATATTATAAGCCATACCCGTATTGCATATCCATTTTGTGTTCATATAAATCGTATTCGTCCTCGTGCACATGTCTCCAATCCGTAGTCCCCAATAAAATGATTAAAAACTAGCACAATACATTGAGCTTAAACGAAAAAGATAAAAAGGGGTTTTGACCCTCATCCTCACAATCTAGAGTATCAACACTCAATCAATTAGTGTATCAATTTTATTCTTTTAAAACTAAACTTTGTCTGAAAAAACTGGGATATATTCCTTTCTGCGTAAACTTCATTTATTTCAGTCTCAATCTCAATAAATCAAACATTTTCTTGCTTTGTGTGTTAGAGTTCAACAAGAGAGAGAAAATCATGGATGTTGTCCAGCTCTTACAGAGGCAATTCATCGACTATATGAAGTCTTTGTACAGGGAGGTAAATCACCCTTAAAGATATCTGGGTTTTGATCCATTTTTTCAAACTTTAATTGGGTTTTTGTGTTTTCAATTTTTTCTGATCATGGATCTAATATTTTTGACCATTTTTGCAGCATTATTTGGATGATCAGTTCAACCAATTGCAGAAATTGGCTGATGAGAGTAGCCCAGATTTTGTTATTGAAGTTGTTACTCTTTTCTTCCAAGATTCTGAGAAGCTCCTTGAGAATTTGAGCAAAGCTCTGTGAGTTTTATTTTCTGGGTATTTTTCATTTTAGTTTGTTGTGATTTCAATTTAATTGTACTTTATTTCTTTGATTTGTAATTGATTTTTTTTTTTTCTCATACAGTGAGCAGCCTGCTGTAGATTTCAACCAAGTGGCAAATCATGCTCATCAGTTTAAGGGGAGTAGTTCTAGGTATTTTCCTGTCTCTCAATCTTGAATTTTGTACTTTTCTAGGGTTCTACATCTTTTTTGGGCTTTGAAATTGTATCTTGAATTAAAATTGATGTAATTTGAAATTTTGTTGAATTAAAAAGTTGACATAACTTGAAATTTTGTAAATTAAAATGGCATAACTTGAAATTTTGTTGACTTAAAATTGATATAACTTGAAATTTTGTTGAATTAATATTGATATATCTTGATTAAATGCTTGGTCTTGTGTTGATCAGAATATTTGGTGTAACTTTGTAATTTGCTGGGATAACTTATACTTTAAGGATTAAGACAGCATTTTTTGGTGCCGGGGTTGGGGTGGAGGGGGTGGTTTTCCATATAGTCCATTTGATAGAGCCGGTCATCAGACAAGATCAAAACATCCTCAATATTCTTATCCTCGTGTCCTGCATATATTAGAGACATTCAGCACATACCCTTTTTCCACAGTCCAATATATACCAATCTATAGGTTTCCAAATACCACTTAATGAACTAGGAAACCAATCGTCGTATCCTCCATATAAACTGTCTGATTGCATCAGCTGTTCCTTGGAACCAGTTCTTGTAGCTGCCAATACCTGTTACATAATTTGCGGTCAATTTTGCTACTCGCATATGATTAGGAAATTCAATTTTACATCTTAAATTGGGCTGTGGTATATTACATCAGAAGTTTACCTCCACAAAGCCGTCACCAACGTTGATACCATTCCCTTGATAAGTTCGATATATGTGGCGATTAAGGGAAGCTCCATTGAACTGAGTTAAGATGAATACTTTGTTTATACCAATGTAGTTACTCATTGGAATATCTATAAACTTGTAGTATCCTCCATCAGGAACCTGTATCATACTTGATTTAATATACATGGTCCATACCCAAGAAAATTGATACAATACTTAATTTGTTGCACAACATTTATGTGCATAAAAGTTTCATAAATTCCTGATAAGTTGATTTTGATGCAAGTACACCATCGTACTCTTCCTAGTTCTATACATAATTCAAAAGATCTGCTGGTAAGAAGAGCTGAGCTCCTCCCAGTATAATTGATGCCATATTTTTAGGATCAGCACTTTGCCTTTCGACGATTGGTGTCTCCCTAATCTACAATAAATTCAAATATTTCGAAAAATAAAAATAAATGATCTACTAATCTGTCTTCAAAACTGCTATTTAAATCATGTTTTTTGCTTGGCTTGTTGGTAGTTGACAAGTATGTAATTTTGGTTATTGAATGTTCACTAGATAATTTGTTGCTGAAGTGTTTAAATTTGCACATCTTAAGGGTGATTTGTTTGTTGTATTTGACAGCATTGGTGCACATAGGGTCAAAAACCAATGTGTTAAATTTCGAGCTTTTTGCGAGGAGAAAAATCGTGATGGGTAAGTTGTCTACTGATACTGAATGCTTGATACTCAAATTCCCTCCCTTTTTCTGAGGTTTAAATTGTTTGAACTTTAAACTGCCATTTCCTTCATTTTGTAGGTGTAGCGATTATATATATATTCATGTTATTGAATGATTGGAAATTAATGTATCACTCTTGGCAGATAAAGAGTACAAGGACTATGTTGTAACTTTACATCCTACCTTACCTTTTCTTCTTCATTCTCAATCAAATAGGTGTGATGCCTCCAAAGATTTTGATAGGATTAATTGCTAGATTAATTTTGGTATTGACATTTATCTCATCTGATCTCTGATGCTATCACCCCATATCCTAAAATCTGTGTTGTTTCACGAGCTTTGCCGTTGTAGACATGATCCAAAGTTGACTAAGATCAAAATAACATCTCGTTTGGCAGATTATACATGCTTTTGTATTCAGAGATTGAGAAATTTGAGATGCTCAAATGGAGTATTGATAGTGTTATGCTGATAACATAACTCTTAGAAATATTTAGGGTCCTAGCCTCCTAGGTCTTGTTTTCAAAGAGAACTTATAAATATTGATAAATTACATGTTCATATTACAAAGTTATAGTATTGCTGTTCATGGCTAAGGAATTGGTGAAGGGTTTTGGCCTTCTCGATGTTACAAGCTGTTCAACTTAGTCATTTCAAACTTTTCTAAGCATTATATTCACTGTGCTTAGAACCTATTGATTATGTATATGCTCTATACTTGTTAATATGTTTACCTAATATGGGTGAGGTCTAAGGTGATTATCTAGAAGCTCTAAATCTTTCTGATCCTTCCAATACAAGTTCCTCATCGTGACAAATATCATGTTTATTGCCTATTTTTAAATTTTTATACCTTCACTCAGATATAATTATCATGTTAATAGGATGACAGTCATAGCAATAATTCTTCTGGACAGGATTAATATGTGAGCAACTATTCTGTCCTTTTTAGGCAATGTTATAGTTGATATGTATTGTCGTGGCTATAGCAAATTGCATTTGAACTGTTTGTTGAGACTATAATGTAAAATGTTATAAGATTGTTGGCTTTTCTGGAAAGATATCATAAGGTTATGTATTTATCTTCTAGTCAATCTTGCATCCACACCATAGAGTACATCTTTTGCTGAAATGGCATTGTAAAATTCCATCTCCTGTTTTACTGGCTAGCTATATATGAACAGTTGACTAGGATCACCATTATGTACCTATTAATGTGCTGCATGTGAAAAGGAAGATGTCTTTGTTTGACGCAAACTCCAGAATACGACTGGTGCATTCTACATATTGTTTGAAAAGGCAACCTTTTGTGTAAAGGTCATCATATAGGTAGTCCAGTAAATTCACCCTTATCGCACACTTGTCTTACCTTAGGGCTACTGCTAGTTTGATGATGGGGCTTCTGCACCCCCCCCCCCCCCCCCACCCCCCTCTCTCCCCTTTTTCTGTTGACTGTTTGAAACTTTCCAAGAGTCAATTTCTTCCCCTGATGATCTAATTACCCTTTGGTTTACTTAAATTATCTCTCTTTTGAATGAGTATGATCATTATTTCTTATCATGGTCAATAAAGGATTTTAGTATTCCCTCTTACTTGATGGTTATTCTTGCACAATTAGCACAAGTTATTCATTATTTATACAGGGCTTAGTCAATCAGGCTTTGAAGGATTGAAGGGTATAAATCATATAATATTAACTTTGTATTATGATTCTGATATAACATCTCATGCTTTTAATCCATCAAACTATTGCTACAATTACATCATATTTATGCTGATTTAATTTGATAACTCTGATCTTTTGTCCATTTGGTGCAGATGTCTTGCGTGTCTGCAAGAGTTGCAGCAGGAGTATGTTGTTCTGAAAAAGAAATTCGAAATACTTTTCCAGGTACTAACTGGTAGCGCTGGAGGCAGTTCTCTTCTATTATAATTTCTTGTGTATTATTGTGCCTAATGTCAATTGTTCTCCCCTTTGTCCCTTTTGGCAGAGAAGTACTGAGGAAATTTCTTTTACTACTTTCCGTATAATTTATATTACCATATTACCCAGCATCATTTTTCTTCTGCCTTAATCATTTTCTTTTAAGAATCCTGATAACACCTCATTTATCTGTGATTGTTCATTGTAGCTGGAGCAAGAGATTGTGAAAAATGGTGGGACAGTTCCTACCATGGATTAAGTCTTTGAAACTCAAGGCAAAACGAAAAAAAAGAGACTGGGTAGATTGCGCTTGATGATTCAGACCCTTTTACAGGTCTCCGTAACCTTCTCTTGAGAACCACTGTGAATAACCATTTCTAAATCTAATACTTTAGATACCATTTTCATGTGAGATATATTTCTGCCTTTATTTGTTACCATGTAGGTGACAAAATGTTACATGATGTTCTTGATGTTTTTTAAGTTGTGTTTAGTATTGAAGCTTCTTTGTGGTTGACTTGTATTCCATTTGTATCTTACTATATTGAATTGCTTCAGGTATTGGCTGGTTGGATGGGTAATGGGTTTTAAAATTTGTCAGAATATTTACAGGAGTGTGAGTTGTATACTTTCTTCCCTTTTGACAGTTGAGGCTCTTTAACTAGATTTAATTGGATACAATCAAGTAATCAACCAGTTCATGGCTTTTGGGACATAGTTGGGTAAATTTGGGAAATTTAATTGGGACTGATATTAAATATTTGTTATCAATGCTTGTCTGCATCACTAACCTATACACTAAAAAAAAAATAAATAAATAAATAAATAAAATAAAATTATCCGAAACAAAATTAAGGTTTATTTCATTCGTGTAGCCAACTGAGTTTGAGGGGTTGAGAATTAGGCTCCTAGGCCGATGGCGGGTTGGAGATTGAAGCACATATAGGCGAATTGTCTGAGTTGACTAAACTTGTCCACTGATGCAGTGCTATAATTTTCAATTCATCTTCCTAGGCATGGTTTAGGCCTATGTGTTTAGGAAGTACTAAAGGTTTTTTGTTGCTCTTTTTGTCTTGTGCATTGGGCCAATATGTGCTTCTCAAGGAAAATATGGTCTAAGCATGATCCTTGACTTGATGCACACTAATACACTATAGTAAGTTGTGCTAGTGCCATCTTTATCAATTCAATAAAATGTTGTGGCTAAGTCTGTGTGCAATGTGACTTATTCATCTACATTCATCACCAATGCGATGACAAGCTTCATCTAAGCATGAGTATTGAGAAATAGAGATGGCTACGAAATATTTGTGCACGAGATCTAATTATAAAACCAAGCTATACTTTTGATAGCATACTTGGGTGAATGACCTTTGCCATTGCGGTAGATGGAACTCCTCTATCTTCAAATAAAAGAAGCCCTATTTGGTTTTAAAAAAAAAAAAAAAAAAAAACATTTCCCCTGAAAGATGTTTCATTTCTCCATTATTTATTTGCTGTAATTAATTAAATTATTATTTTTTATTTAGAAAAATAATATACATAGTTTTTAGCACGATACAAAAAGAGCTAAAAGTGAGAAATATAAATGATAAATGAAATATTGCGTATAAATTGTATACATTGAATTACATGTGATTTTATATGCATTGTTATCTTAACACCAAATTAAGAAAATTTTAGTTGTTGATTGAGCATATAAATTGATTTTGGAATTTAACCATTAGTTTAAATGTTTGGTTGGGATGGTCCTCTAACATAGTATCTAGAGCATATACTCCTCACTTTCAAGTTTCAACTGAAATATTTCATACAGGGTATCAGGGGTAGCCTTAATAGTTACATATATTACAATTCTTTTTAATTCACTTTTAACCAACCAAATTAAATTCTTTGATATTTACCTTCTTTAAAAACATGTACAAAAAGCAATGAGACTTGTATTGGAGAACATATGAAGTATCTAATTTCATCCAATATTTCCCAACAAACTCAATCTAATAGTAACAACTTATTCAATTTCTTATGTGGCAATATTCCAGTATTCCTTGCTTTATGTCATCAATTCACGTATTGAAAATCATAAAATGGTTTGTATAAGATATTTGACCACACTAAAAAGTAAAAACTTATCAATTAATACATTACATAAAATAAATGTTTTGATAAAGAAAAACAAATACTTTTTTTTTCCTTAAAGATTAGTCATTATTTCATGTAATAACTAATTGTTTATTCATGTAGTCTAGGACATTATCCAGGCTCAAATGCTAGGTTTTTTTTTTTTTCCTTTTTTTTTTTTTTTTGGTTTAGGCTCAAATGCTAGTTTATTAACCCAAATATCTTGCAGTGTATATGACCTAAGATTTCACCCCACGACCCATCCATAGGATTGGGTCCAAACTCCAAATAACCCATGATCTAGATAGTTAGTGATTCATGGGAACTTTTGTTTTTTTAAATGATTAATGGGGACATTGACCTTTTGGTAAAATAAAATAAAATAAAATAAGTAGAAATTTACCATGTCAATAAAAAACGTGTGTAAAATGGTTATTTGGTCGGCAAAGTTTAATTACATTAGTCAACATTAATTCAATTAAATGGGTAGAAATTTTGATGCTAACACGCTATCAGACTGTAATTCTTAAATGAATTTCGCACAGAAGAAAATGTGAACGGCCTCTAATAAGTTTGTAATTGTTGAGGGATTATTGCACCTGCATTGGTCAAGCCTTAATTAGTTTGTAAGGACATTACTGTCATTGAGTAATTACAGTAACTTAACGGTGTAAGAAAGTACTTGTTGACTAAGTAGCTTCACATAGGTTTTTTTTAACCTTTTATTTATTCATTTATTAATTTATTTTATTTTGAGGTATTGAAAAAGTGTAGTCATGCAATATTTTACGATTGCAATTGTTTTATTTTAGAGCCAAGGTTATTGTCTTGTTTAATTAGCCATTTTTATTATAGACTCGAGAGTCGATTTGACCTGGGAAATGAAATCTGAAATAAACCTGATCTAAACTCAATTTGACTTGAAAAGTTCAAACCAACCAAAAATGAACCAACTTGAACATAATTTAATTCGACTGGAAATCAACCCAAAGTGAAGCTAATCGGACCAAAATTAAAATCAACTTGAATTGAAATGAGCCAAATACTGTTTAAAAAAAAAAAAAAAGAAAGAAAGAAAGAAATGAGCTAAATACAGTAATTGAGCTCATTAGTTATCACGAAGTATACTAAGCTAGAACTTCATTTTACTTATTTATATTGATTTAGTATAAACTAATGACTCATAAGTGCGTAAAAATAGTAAATAATTAATGTTTATCAAAGTACTTATTGGCACACATTGCCTTGAGAGTTTCGCCTTGGTAAGTTTGTTGTACTGATAGTATGTTGATGTATTAAATTATGTAGCTTCGTATTTCAACATAATGTATAATTTCATGATAAGTTTTAGTGAAAAACACATTTGCACATTAACATAGTGACTCAATAAAGAAAATAAAAAAATGTAAATTTTGACTTCACCTAAAATTGACTTGATTCGATCCCATGAGTATGACAGATCAAAATTGTCCCCACATATACTAGATTCGAACAACTAATTTATTAGGTCTAGTTTAGAAAACTATTTCAAAAATTAGATACAAATGAAAAATGAGACAACCTTATTAAAACGAGAAAAGTTTATGGTTACTGAAAATGCGTACGGAATGCTCAAAATTTATGATTGAGAAAATACATTTGACCTTTACTAAACAAATTTGGTCAAAGTGTTCGGTTGAAGACTATTTCAGAACTTCTTTGTTTTCATTTGTACCTGGAACATTTTTCTTTGCAACAGTTTTAGGAATAAATAAACTCTATACCTATATTTTAGATTTTTTTTTTTAATAAAAATCATTTACAAAAAGATTTAAATATAACAAATACTCCCTCTGTATTTAATTATTTGCTCCACTTTCTTTTTACAGTCGTATTTAAATAATTGTTTTATTTCCTTTTTTGAAATTTTTTAACAAATGTTTTACTATTTTACTTCCCACTAGTAATCTCATCATATTATATCTTAATACGAGTATTTTTCATATTCTCTCTCCTCTCCACTCATACGCGATTTTGCTTTCTCATATTTTTTTATACTTCATCCAACCTCACTTCAATCATAAAAAAATATTTTTTACTATTCCTCCTAGAGGTGGGCACCGTGCCGTGTCGGGCCACCGCGGGCCGTGCCGTGCCGTGTCGGGCCACCATTTGGCACACTCAAGCCCACGGCACGGCACGGCCCACGTGCCTAGCGTGCCCGTGCCGTGCCGTGCCATGCCGGGCAGCGTGCCGTCCCGATTATTTTTTTTATTTATTTTTTATTTTTTATTTTTTTAAATTTTGAACAACTTTTAAAATAAGTATATTTAAATAATTTTATGAATTTATGTTTATGTTTTTGTATTATTATATTATTATTGTTCTTTTTATTATTATAGTTCTTTTAATCTTTATTATTTATGTTATTTTTATTATTAATTTATTATAATTAATTTTATTTTTTTTGTTATTATACATATTTATTATTATTTAGCAAAAAGCAACAATACATATAATTAAAAAATTTACAAGTGCGATAACACAAAAATTGATGAATAACTTATTTAATTTTATTATACGCAGGTATGGGTGTAAATCGATAATACAATAATTTATAATGATAAAAATCGTACAATAATTATGAATAACTTAACTTTATAGCTTATTTTATTATACGGGGTTCAATAATACAAAAAATAGCTATAATTAATAGTATGTAATAATCTAATTAATCTTCTTGTTCTTCTTCGTCTTTGTCTTCGTCTTCTTCTTCTTCTTGTCCAAGTTCATCAGCCAATTGAATTGATTGAGAATTAGTAGAAACCGACGTTCCTTCATCGTCATCGTTTTCTGCATAAGTATGATCTTGGCAGCGAGTTTCGGCATCCAACCAATCCTTGAAACAAACACACATTTCAAGTGTTTTGGGTTTTAGTCTTGTTCTTCTATCGTCTAAAACCCTCCCTGATGCACTAAAAGCTCGTTCGGAGGCAACAGAGGAGATTTGGATAGCATAAATATCTCGTGTCATTGCCGCCAAAATTGAATGCTTCGAGCTTTGTGATCTCCACCATTCAAGGATGTCGAGGCCGTACTTCTCTTCATCATCCATGCCTTTCATAAAGTCGTAACTTAAGTACATTTTGCAGCTCCGAAACATCACTTTGTGTTCTCTTAGATGATGATTCACTACCTGAAAACTTAGACATCATGTTAGCAGCTTGTGCAAATAAACCTTTAGCCCTTTTACTTACATTTTTGGATGATTGAGAAGGAGCAAATCGAGTCACGGATCCATATTTACATTCATAAACTCTATATAAGGAAAAAAAAATTGATTGGTCATATTAGTTTTATAAGATTCAACATCATCTTCAAAATTCATGCATTGAAAATAAATATCAATTAATAAAAATGTGTCATCATACTTTTGCCTTGGATCTAATATAGAAGCAAAAATATAAATCATAGGAAGAGCAGTGTAATATTTACGCCAT